GAAGATACTAGGGAAAGAGGAGAGGATACGCCCAGCCTATTAGATCTCATTTTCACCCAGAATGTAGAAGACATCGAGCAGTTGGAACATGAAATACCACTAGGAGCTAGTGACCATTGTGTCCTAGTCTTTGACTACATGATGGAGCTTAAAATTGTGATCAAAGGACAAGAGGTCCGGGAAAGGAGACTTGATTACAGAAAAGGGGACTACAGAAGGATAAGGGACTACCTGGGAGAAGTGCAGTGGGAGGAAGAACTTAGAGGAAAAACAGTGCAAGGTATGATGAACCAAGTCATATTGAAATGCAAGGAGGCTGAAGAGAGATTTATTCCAACACTAAAGGAAAAAAGCAGGAGGGAATATAATAACCCATGGTTTAATAGACAGTGTCAGGAAGCAAAGGTGAGAAGCAGGAGGGAGTGGAGGAAGTACAGAAGACAAAGGACAGAGGACAACAGGATTAGATGTAACAGAGCTAGGAATGATTACATTAACATAAGACGAGTGTCGGAAAGAAATTATGAGAATGATATTGCAGTCAAAGCGAAAAAGCAACCTAAATTACTACATAGCCATATAAGAAGGAAAATGTCGGTAAATGACCAAGTGACAAGACTGAGGAAAACAGAAGGGGCATATACAGAAAGCGACAAGGAAATCTGCGAGGTACTGAATGCAAAATTCCATGGAGTGTTCACAACCGAGCCTGAGCAGCTCCCATTGTTAGAAGAGATTACCCAAGATGAAAGACTATCAGATATAGAGGTGACAGCAGAGGATGTAATGAAACAGTTGACAACACTGGATGCAAATAAAGCTGTTGGACCAGACAAAGTATCACCGTGGATACTTAAAGAGGCAGCGCAGGCTCTCAGCGTGCCTCTGGCAATGATCTTTAATGAGTCACTTATGTCGGGAGAATTGCCCAGTTGCTGGAAGGAGGCAAATGTCGTACCGATTTTCAAAAAAGGTGATAGGGAGGAGGCACTTAACTACAGACCCGTATCACTGACAAGCATCCCCTGCAAAATACTTGAAAGAATAATTAGGCTATGACTTGTTGAGCACCTGGAGAGCATTGGGTTTGTAAACAAGCACCAACATGGGTTCTGGACAGGGAAATCATGCCTAACAAACCTTTTAGAATTCCATGATAAAGTAACAAGGATAAGGCAGGACAGAGAAGGCTGGGCAGACTGCATATTTCTTGACTGCCAAAAGGCCTTTGATACAGTACCGCACATGAGACTGCTATACAAACTTGAGAGGCAGGCAGGAGTAAGCGGAAAGGCCCTAGTATGGGTGAAGAACTACCTAACAGGAAGGAGCCAGAGGGTAATGGTAAGGGGCGAGAAGTCGGACTGGCGAACAGTAACAAGTGGAGTACCTCAAGGATCGGTGCTGGGACCAATCCTCTTTCTAATTTACGTAAATGATATGTTTACAGGAGTGGAATCATACATGTCAATGTTTGCGGATGACGCAAAATTAATGAGAAGAGTTGTGACAGACGAGGATTGTAGGATCCTCCAAGAGGACTTAAACAGGCTGCAGAGATGGTCAGGGAAATGGCTACTGGAGTTTAACACCAGTAAATGTAAAGTTATGGAAATGGGATCAGGTGACAGGAGACCAAAGGGACAGTACACAATGAAGGGGAACAGCCTACCTGTAACGATTCGAGAAAGAGACCTGGGAGTGGATGTGACACCTAATCTAACTCCTGAGGCACATATAAATAGGATAACGACAGCAGCGTACTCTACACTGGCGAAAATTAGAACTTCATTCAGAAACCTAAATGAGGAGGCTTTTAGGGCGCTTTACACTGCCTACGTGAGACCCGTCTTAGAGTATGCCGCGCCATCATGGAGCCCCCACCTGAAGAAACACAAAGAAACTGGAGAAGGTTCAGACGTTTGCGACGAGGCTTGTCCCAGAGTTACGAGGGATGGGATATGAAGAGCGTCTGAAGGAACTGAATCTTACGACACTAGAGAAAAGAAGGGAGAGAGGAGATATGATAGGGGCATATAAAATACTCAGGGGAATTGACAAAGTGGAAATAGATGAAATGTTCACACGTAATAATAACAGAACGAGGGGACATGGGTGGAAACTGGAAACTCAGATGAGTCACAGAGATGTTAGGAAGTTTTCTTTTAGCGTGAGAGTAGTGGAAAAATGGAATGCACTTGGGGAACAGGTTGTGGAAGCAAATACTATTCATACTTTTAAAACTAGGTATGATAGGGAAATGGGACAGGAGTCATTGCTGTAAACAACCGATGGCTGGAAAGGCGGGATCCAAGAGTCAATGCTCGATCCTGCAAGCACAAATAGGTGAGTACAAATAGGCGAGTACACAATGCATGCACACTCACCAACACACACGAATGCATGCGCACACTCACCAACACACACGAATGCATGCGCACACTCACCAACACACACGAATGCATGCGCACACTCACCAACACACACGAATGCATGCGCACAATCTACACATACAGGTGACATACGGCAGACCCTGACGGCTAAGTGGACACCGCTCGGGGTTCGTAGTCCTAGAGTCCGGGGATCGATTCCCAGCGGTGACGGAAACAAATAGGCAGAGCTTATTACATCTCGATGAGTCTGTTCACCAAGCATTATGTAGGTACCTGGGAGTTAGACAGCTTCTACGGGCTACTTCTTGGGGATGCGTGTGTGTGTGTGTGTGTGTGTGTGTGTGTGTGTGTGTGTGTGTGTGTGTGTGCGCGCATGTGCATGTGTAAGAAATGTATGTAGTTAAATGAACAAATCCGGACTAAGGAGCTTCTGGGAACATCCCGTACGTAGGTTCGAACCCTCATTACGGCCCTTCTGGATTTGTTCATTTGATATATGACGCTATTGTGATTTGTGTGTGTATATATGTAGTTGATATAATAGAGAAATAATAGATTAGTTAGACAGGCGGGGTCCAAGAGCTAATAGGTCGATTCTGCAGAAACAAACATAATAAATACACAGACACAGACACACAGACACACACACAGAGGAAGGTCACTGGAAGACAGAAGAGTTAGGGGGGACATGATCACCACATACAAGATTTACAAAGGAATTGATAGGGTAGACAAAGACAGTTTAACACAAGGAGCACACGCAGTAGGGGACACAGGTGAAAACTAAGTGCCCAAATGAGCCATAAAAACACGAGGAAGAATTTAGTTTCGTGTAATAAATGGAATGTATTAGGAAGTGATGTGGTGGAGGCAGACTCCATACACAGTTTCAAGTGTGGATATGATAGAGCCCAATAGGCTTCAGAATCTGTCCACCAGCTGATTGACAGTCGAGAGGCGGGACCAAAGAACCAAAGCTCATCCCCCGCAAGCACAACTAGGTGAGTCCATCTAGACATCCATCTGTTACTACGCTACGGACGTTTACAGAACGCTATATCTATAAGAGAAAATGTACATTTGTTCGAGGTTGAGGGCTATATATGCTTGGGGCTAGCCTCATGCAACTTTGTTGGGTGGTTGGTCTGGGGTACGGGAAGGACATAGGCTCGTTGTGGTTGTCGGAGGGAACAGCGTGCCACGGTTACATTCACAATCTGTACGACTAACCATCTTATCTAGAGATGATTTCGGGGCTTTAGTGTCTCCGCGGCCCGGTCCTCGACCAGGCCTCCACCCCCAGGAAGCAGCCCGTGACAGCTGACTAACACCCAGGAACTATTTTACTGCTAGGTAACAGGGGCTAAAACTGAAAGAAACTCTGCCCATTGTTTCTCGCCGGCGCCCGGGATCGAACCCAGGACCACAGGATCACAAGTCCAGCGTGCTGTCCGCTCGGCCGACCGGCTCCCTAGGTAATTTGACAAATTGTGTAGCCCCTTCATATAATATACGGCAGCTGCATAAATGTAACCCTTCATACAGTCTAGGACAGCTGTATAAATGTAACCCTTCATACAGTCTAGGACAGCTGTATAAATGTAACCCTTCATACAGTCTAGGACAGCTGTATAAACGTAACCCTTCATACAGTCTAGGACAGCTGTATAAACGTAACCCTTCATACAGTCTAGGACAGCTGTATAAATGTAACCCTTCATACAGTCTAGGACAGCTGTATAAATGTAACCCTTCATACAGTCTAGGACAGCTGTATAAATGTAACCCTTCATACAGTCTAGGACAGCTGTATAAATGTAACCCTTCATACAGTCTAGGACAGCTGTATAAATGTAACCCTTCATACAGTCTAGGACAGCTGTATAAATGTAACCCTTCATACAGTCTAGGACAGCTGTATAAATGTAACCCTTCATACAGTCTAGGACAGCTGTATAAATGTAACCCTTCATACAGTCTAGGACAGCTGTATAAATGTAACCCTTCATACAGTCTAGGACAGCTGTATAAATGTAACCCTTCATACAGTCTAGGACAGCTGTATAAATGTAACCCTTCATACAGTCTAGGACAGCTGTATAAATGTAACCCTTCATACAGTCTAGGACAGCTGTATAAATGTAACCCTTCATACAGTCTAGGACAGCTGTATAAATGTAACCCTTCATACAGTCTAGGACAGCTGTATAAATGTAACCCTTCATACAGTCTAGGACAGCTGTATAAATGTAACCCTTCATACAGTCTAGGACAGCTGTATAAATGTAACCCTTCATACAGTCTAGGACAGCTGTATAAATGTAACCCTTCATACAGTCTAGGACAGCTGTATAAATGTAACCCTTCATACAGTCTAGGACAGCTGTATAAATGTAACCCTTCATACAGTCTAGGACAGCTGTATAAATGTAACCCTTCATACAGTCTAGGACAGCTGTATAAATGTAACCCTTCATACAGTCTAGGACAGCTGTATAAATGTAACCCTTCATACAGTCTAGGACAGCTGTATAAACGTAGATGAACACGAAGATGTTTATCATAATAATACTAAGCAGCTGACGGAGTTGTTTTTGTCTTGGTCAGCGTGGGAGGGAGGATGGTCCAGGCCGCCCCCGGAGCCCCGCCACCTGCCGCCCAGCCTCGACGACACCACCCACCACCTCCTCAGCCTACTCCACAACGTCTACCCTCTCTACACCTCCGCGGAAATGGTAATGCTTTCCCACAAGCCTAGTTCACCTCATTTTATTCGGCCATGTTATTAAGTGAATAACTTTTGATTTGAAAGCTTCAAACATCACAATAAATGAAGATTGATGTACTATCAACTACAGCCAACAGTTAAAACGTTCTAGCGGTCTAGTGGCCCTCCGCCTGCCGGAAGTCATAGCTAGTTTGATCTATTACTTCTCAAGTCAAAATTGCTTCCTGATCTCTTGATTTCGTTCCGGCAGATCCCTTCAGAGAGAGAAGAGAGCGTGATTAAGAGCACAGGAGCACCCAAAATGCTCTTCTACCCCTCTCAACTGGGCATGAAAACTACAAGCGAGGTGAGAAACCTGAACAAATCCACAAGGGCAGTGACGAGGATTCGAACCTGCGTCTGGGAGCATCCCAGACACTGCCTTAATCGACTGAGCTACGACAGGGTAAAACGACAGGGACAGGGTTCTCAGTCGATTAAGGCAGTGTCTGGGATGCTCCCAGACGCAGGTTCGAATCCTCGTCACTGCCCTTGTGGATTTGTTCATTTGATGCATCACGTTAGTGTGATCTCTGTGCGAGAGAAACCTGTTAGCCAGCTGGCAAGCTCATTGGTTTGTTGGTGAGGGGCTAGATTAGGGCCAAAGATTAGGTGAGAGCCAGAAGCCAGGTGAGGGGGAGACAGACCCGGGCACATCCTGGTACCCCTCCTCCCCCAGTATGATGTAAACAAGAGGTGAGTGTGTGTGAGTGTTAGAAGCACCGTTTTATAAAATACTGTCAACAATTTACGAGTGTAAACATCCTACTAGCCCTCAAGTCATACATATTACTTAACAGGTTTGACTGGATTAACATGATTCATTTGATTCGTAGTTCAGAGACGAACGTGAATAATTAACTATCATAAGGTGAAGTAATCTTGCTACCCATCAGGGGACGGAGGAAGCCAGCCAGACACACAAGGAAGAGGAAGGCAAGAGGAGGAGGAAGAGAAGTGTGGATAGCTCGGAAGAGGTGAGTGACTAAGATCCTCTTCAGAGGGAAGTAGAAAGACTCACATGTGTTACAAAGAACTTTAACAAGATGTAAACACAAACATTGATGACTCATCTCTCCTCTTTATTCCATTTGCAACACTTTTTATGCAGTAGAGTGCCGATAATGGGGCTCTGGTTACCATGTTGCAGGAGCGAGAGGGCGTGGACACCAGCCAGGCTGCCGGCCACCACGACCACCCTAGCCAGGACGACATCACTCTCAACGACACCAGCGCCTGGTGGTGGCCCTTCGGTTAGTCGTCCCCACCTCATCCGAACACTCCCCAACACCACCTCATCCGAACACTCCCCACCACCACCTCATCCGAACACTCCCCAACACCACCTCATCCGAACACTCCCCAACCCACCTCATCCGAACACTCCCCAACACCACCTCATCCGAACACTCCCCAACACCACCTCATCCGAACACTCCCCAACACCACCACATCCGAACACTCCCCAACACCACCTCATCCGAACACTCCCCAACACCACCTCATCCGAACACCTCCCCAACACCACCTCATTCGACCTCCCCCCAACACCACTTCATCTAAAGCCAAATAACACATCTTACCTGAACCTTCACTGCGGGTTCCTTCTGTAGGCCCGGTCCACCCATGGTCCACCCACCCTGCATGGCCTGCTGACCAAAGGCGTGTGTAACAGGTTCAGCTTCGTTAGCCTCATTAACCTCCAGTGCTTTGATCCACGCCGCCGTCGCCCTCTTATGATCCAAATACATTTTCCCTCTCAGACGTTTATACCTGACGGGACGCAAGAAAATAGTGTGGTGGAGCTTGGCCCGCCCGTGGTGGGTGTGCCAGCTCGGCCCTTACCTAGTAAAGTTTGTTGAAATGTTGCAGCACCACAGCCCCGCTCCTGTGCCAGGCAAGTCCACTACGGGCTCACCATAGCCCGTGCTACTTTGAAACTTGTGTTCTAAGTAGCTGAATCTAAAACAACATTGCAGCACTGCAAGTGAAGTGTTCGGATGAGCCATTAGCATCACTACCGTCAGGTGTAAGTGTTCCCGGAGTACTAAAATCATGGATGTTCTTCAACGCGTTTAGGCGACTCGAATTTCAAACAATTTATTTGTGCAGTTCCTTCACAAATTCCCAAGAAACTCCTCCTACCCCTCGCCAGCATTCTTAACACGGTGAACCACCTCGTACTGACTCTCCTGTACGAACACCCACTTGTATCCCTTCTATCTTTATGCTCTACTTCTCTATCATTATATTTTCCAGTGGTAGAATGTTAAGTGCCTGTTTAATGCTGTATTTAGAAGTCATCATTGTCAACCCCCCCCCCCCCCCCCCCCACACACACACACAATTCGCATTCAGTAAATACCGTAATGCAACAGATGCTTTTGTAGAATTAAAATTCATGATCAAAATTATTTCCGTGTTGTCAATTACGGTACGGGTGCATTTTGATGTTAAGAAAGCATACGACACTACTTTATCGCACAATACTTGACCCACTGTGTTCTTTGGGCATCGTAGGAACTTGCCCTCATTATACTAGAACATAAATATCCACTAGATTTGTTAAAATCCGAAATGGGTCCTGTTACCCATCCTCCCACCGACTTCATCAAGGTCCACAAGACAGTTCTGAAAAGCACTTTGTTCATTGCTGCTATTAATGGCATCGTTCTTTCCCTTCCTGCTGTTCCTCTTCCACGCTATATACTGACACGTTAACTGTGTTGTCAAGGAGCAACCCGTTCTCCTGAACTGTACGTCGCATTTTGACGAGAAAAGTAGGTGGTCGTGCAGTCTCTAGGCACATGGAATGCCAATCACATAAAATAATAAAAAAAAGGAAAAAACAGTTAAACTACAAGTTGTCTTCATAGTGATGTAAACTGTAGGATAAAGCAGAGGGAAAAAACATTTAAAGATACTTTACTTTGATAGAAAAAGGAAATTAAACAAATTACAAAACAAAATATTCAGGCCTGGCTTTAATACAAAGTGTGCAAAACGAAAATAAACAGACAATCAAATTTACGTTACGTTAATGTGCAAAATAAAATATTGTGCAAGAATACTGTGAGTCAAACCGAATAGCTCTGTTACCATACCGGGGTATGTCAACAGGTCTACTCATCAGAGCACTCAGAAGTAATCTGAAATGTAGTGGGCTAGGCAGCCCTATAGATACACGATGCTGGCCGGGCAGATGGTGCTGGAGACTTCTTTAACTATTAACCGGCTCTAAAACTGCTTGTTTGAGATGGCGTGAGCTCCCAGCGACCCAGGTGCGAGGTGGGGTGACAGGCAGTGGGGTAGGTAGACTGGTGGTATTGTCTAGACGCCTGGATAGTAGTAGTTGTTGTGGCTGCAGTTCTTTACTATATAGACGTGATAGGGGTAGCATAGGTGATGATGGAGCAGGCCGAATCTCTTCCTAGAGATTTTACCATGACAGCTCTCCCCTGAAGCCTGCTCCTATTGCCAATTCAACTGCAGCCGAGTGTAGAATAGTAAGAGTGGACGAGTCCACCCTGTGGATTCGTTAAAGTGTGTCGGCGACAATGTTGTCCGAGCGTTGGATGAAGTAAATGGTGATGTTGAAGTTCTGGAGGTACAGGGCCCAATGAAGCAGATGTATTCACCTAGTTGTGTTTGCAGGGGTTGAGCTTTGCTCTTTCAGCTCATCTCTCAACTGTCAATCAACTGTTTACTAACTACTATTTTTTTTTTCTCCACACCACACACCCCCCCAGGAAGCAGCCCGTGACAGCTGACTAACTCCAAGGTACCTATAAACTGCTAGGTAACAGGGGCATTCAGGGTGAAAGAAACTTTGCCCATATGTTTCTGCCTGGTGCGGGAATCGAACCCGCGCCACAGAATTACGAGTTCTGCGCGCTGTCTGCTCTGCTATTAAACCTCTGGTAGCCGAGACAGATGTTGGTTGGTGAACTGGGTCTGCTGCAGAAGCTGGAGAGGATGGTGGTTGATGATGTTGAGGAAGCACTGCAGGACTGTCAAGTGTGAATTTGCTGTAGAATCGAGCCTGCTGAATAGATCGACGAGAATGGTGATCCAGGAGAGGGCGAGATTGTTCCTCTGATGCAAGGCCCAGCGTAGTAAGCGCTGTTTGGAGAACTGGGCTAGCAGTAGGAACCGAAGGAGATTGTGACATATGATGTTCACATGGTGATGCAGGATTCAGCGAAGTTTGGAGAACCGATCCTGATGTAGGGACCGAAGAATGTTGAAGTCCGAGGAGAGGTTGAAGTTGTAACCTAGCAGATTGGACGATTCGTTGTGTTGCACGTCGGGTAGGATGTTGAGTGGCTCCTCTCTGATGACTGTAGCTATAGTTCATGATCCCATCTCGCGGCGGTGTGATGGTGTTCCTATCGCCAGGGTGGAAGTCTGGAGGTTTTCTAATACCTGGCAGGGCGAGAATGGAGTTAGTACCAGACAAGGATTTATGCCTTTCAAATGCAATGGAAGCCAAGTTTGTCTTACAATATTTTAGCTGAGGGCTGGTAAAATTGTCTGGAGGAGCACATTTAATTGGATTTGGTTCATAGAGAGAAGGATCTTTCCTGGTGTTGGAATCAATCGAGAATTTAGAACCATTGTAGTCAGGCCAAGTACAACGAGAAGGATTAGACAATACCTTAGTGATGGTTGTCTTGCTCAGGTCGTTGGAGGAGATGGTATCACACTTGTTCTGACCTTCCTGGCGGTGTCTGTACTGCGGGGCATTGCTTCCTGAGGTGTTTCACAACGTTAGCAGCCGTACTGTTCTGGACGGAAACTGCTGTAGAATACCTATTGGTAGAACATAGAGGAACATTACCTGAGCTTATCTGGGACTGAGGCTGGTCATAGTTGATGGTATGGGTGAACGGCTCAGAAGACACTGGTACCTGTATCAGGGGTGCCTTTAATAGAAGAGTGTTCGGCTTACCCGTCATCCGAGACATGTGAATTTTTTTTACAAAGCTTTTGATATCTCTAATCATACCTGGCCAGTAGTAGTTCTGTTTCCTTGTAGGTCTTCTAGAAGCCGTCGTGTGAGTGAGATCCCCGGACCAGACGCAAGATATCTGATCGTAGGCTGTTGGGAACTATCTGTTGTTTGATGTTGGCCCGATCGCCATTCTCCAATTTCCTGGTTCTATAATGCCGGTACAACACTTAATTTTCTACAAAAAAAAACAGGGATAGAGTTAGGTTGTGTCTCAGCCTGTAAGAATAAAGATGTTAAGGAGGGATCCTCTCTCTGCAATTTACGGAACTCCAGCACTGTGAGATTCGGTGGGAGGCTCAGAGGATCTTGAGGAACAGCTGCAGCAGCTGGTTTCGGGCGAGCAACTGTGGCCAGCTTTGTCACCATAACAGGAGGGAAGACGTTGTCAGAATCTGTTGCTTGGACCTCTTCAACCAACTGCAAAACAGGATTTTCCACTGCCGAGTCACATACCTGGGGATCTTCCTTGATTACATTCGCAGGTTGTTGATCTTCTGCCAAGTCATTGCCCAGGAGAAGTTGAGCTCCTGACATGGGAAAAGGCTTTTCCTAGATGGCAACTTTGACTTTACCTTGCATAAACGGACAATCCAGGAAGACTCTGGCAAGTGGATATGGAGTAGTGGCAGTTAGGTCCGTGATGAGGACAGTTTCTCCGGTGTAGGTGACGTTAGGTACAGCTGATTTCATTAGAATAGATTGTAGAGCAGCTGTGTCCCTCAAGATCTTCACTTTGAACCTTTCCTCCGAATCTCTAAGGTTGGCAGAGACTGTTCCGGAGTACAAGTGTGTATTGAAGAGAGTGTTCAGTGGAAGAAACAAAAATATTCATTACAGGCTTAGGACTTATGAATTTTAGGAGGTGATGATTTGGGCTTATTCTCACTGCTGACCTTACAGTGAGGATTGGTACACTTTTCTATGGTATGCCCATAGTCTTTGCAATACTTGCAATACAACGAGGAGTTCACATTACTGGTACTCACTTTTTCAGGACTAAACCAGGAGGTCTTACTAGATGGTGTGTCAGATGGTACTCTATGAATAAGACTGTAGGAGTCAGCCAATTGAGCACATCTGGTAAGATCGCTTTCTTCCTTGCCGGCTAGGTAGAGTCGTATGAAATTAGGTACACGTCTGTAGAATTCTTCCACCACGATGAGATTGACGAGATCTGTAAAGGTGGAGACTTGTGCGGCTTCCAGCCACTTCATAAAATATAGCTTTTTGTTATTAGCAAACTCTACGCAAGTGGTAGCACTTATTTTAAGGTAATTCCTGAACTTACGTCTGTAAGTCTCGGTGGAGAGGAGGTAAGCATCGAGCACTGCTTGCTTCAGTACCTTGTAGTCGGTTTCAGACGCTATAGTACTAAATCACTGCAGTTCTACCTGCTAAATGAGACCCGAGAAGCACAGACCACTGATCCTGAGGCCAGCCGAGTTGGTTAGCCAGAGCCTCAAATGAAGTAAAGAAGACATCTACTTCTGCCTCAACAAAAGATGGCATTAACTTAATTGCAAGTGAAAGGTTAAAACGTACCGGAAGGTTAGCTTCTGCTTGCTAGCGCAGAGTGTGGTGTGTAGTTTCTAAGTCGAGTTCTTTCTTACGGTTGTCTAGAGTACTGGCGGCTTGTTTCTTATGTTCACGTTGTATCTCCAGCTCGCGTTCTTTTAACTCTAGCTGTTCCTGTTCCCGCTCACGTTGTAGGGCAACCTGTTCTTTCTGGAGCTGAAGAGTTTCCCTCTCACACTCAGCTTATTTTTCAATGAGCTTAAGTTGAAGTTCAGCTTCCCGTTCCTTCCTCTGGAGAGCTTCCTTTTCACACCCTACGTTCTAGGGCAGCTTGTTCTTTCTGGAGCTGAAGAACTTTTCTCTGAAGATCTTCACATGTGCGGGTTGGGTGTCCATTTTCACCACAGTTATTGTTGACTTACTATCTGCATTACCTTATGACCTGTTCTCTTATGAATGCTAACTACATTCAGCTGGGCATCGATGTGCTATACAGTCATACAGGCTTAGCACTTTCCCGTCATAATTACTCTCTTTTTATACACAATTCCTTCTATAACTTACTAACAGTGCCTATTTTCAGTTTCAGTTCGCCGGTCACCGTTTTCGCCTCAACTGGGCAAACTCACGAATATTATTCCCGAAGACTTCGATTACGATGACGAATCTGCTTCCCCGGAGTATCTGGAAGACGACTTGGAGGACTACCTTCAGGGCGAGGTGGAGGCGATGGTGTGGTCGCCGCAGGAGACCCAGAACGTAGAGGGACCCTCGACGCAGGACGCCAACACTTGGTTCTCGAACCAGAGACTCGACAAGAGGGCAGCAGCCTCACCAGACTTTACCTTCTCCCCAAGGCTTGGAAAGAAAGGCGACTTCGCCTTCTCACCTAGGTTGGGGAAAAAGTTAGATTTTGCCTTTGTTCCTAGGCTTGGTAAAAAGGCTGACTTTCAATTCAGCCCAAGGCTTGGTAAAAAGGCAGACTTCGCCTTTAGTCCAAGACTAGGTAAAAAGGCAGACTTCGCCTTTAGCCCAAGATTAGGTAAAAAGGCAGACTTCGCCTTTAGCCCAAGACTAGGTAAAAAAGCAGATTTCGCCTTTAGCCCAAGACTAGGCAAAAAGGCAGACTTCGCCTTTAGCCCAAGACTAGGCAAAAAGGCAGACTTCGCCTTTAGCCCAAGACTAGGCAAAAAGGCAGACTTCGCCTTTAGCCCAAGACTAGGCAAAAAGGAAGACTTCGCCTTTAGCCCAAGATTAGGTAAAAAGGCAGACTTCGCCTTTAGCCCAAGACTAGGTAAAAAGGCAGACTTCGCCTTTAGCCCAAGACTAGGTAAAAAGGCAGACTTCGCTTTTAGCCCAAGACTAGGCAAAAAGGCAGACTTCGCCTTTAGCCCAAGACTAGGCAAAAAATCAGACTTCCAATTCAGCCCAAGACTTGGCAAAAAGGCAGACTTTCAATTTAGTCCTAGACTTGGAAAGAAGGCAGACTTCGCCTTCAGCCCAAGACTGGGAAAGAGAGATGGAGAGGAGACGAGTGATGATGCGAGGGGCTCCATAACACCCATGTACGTGCCTCGGCCGGGCCGCCCATACTTCTCGCCCAGGCTAGGCTAGACCGGCTACTCTACTCCCACCACCACCACCCCTGTACCTTGTTATACCTTTCTTACACCCAGAGTTACTCATGAGACTGACCGAAGAGCCGAGTACCATGATGTGGTGCGAGGCTGCAACTGGAGATCACTAGTGCTGTGTGGAGCTCGAGGCTGGCTTTGTGATGAAGAACAACTGCTAATACCAGTACAACAGTCAGCATCTTCATGCTGCATGTCCGTGTCACGACTCCACCGTCTTCCACGGAACGCAGAGCATCAAAACATTAACATGATAAATAAATCAATAAATACTATCTTTATATACTGTTGATTACCTGAACCACATTAGAAAAAGACAATAATAATCTGAGGTCCAAACATATTGAAATGTTAACACTGTGTTGCGGCCACTAACTAAACTCCGTCCCTTCCCACACACACACTGCCTACTAGCCACTAATATTACCGACAGCAACACACATTCGATACAAAATAATTACAGACATACCAACATACAAAACTGCTTTTACAGAACACGTGGTAACACTGAATATAGGCGGGCGGGGCAGAAATAATTAGGCGTGTTTTGTATCACCAAATGTCCTGTTCACCTAGCAGTAAATAGGTACCCTGTTCACCTAGCAGTAAATAGGTACCCTGTTCACCTAGCAGTAAACAGGTACCCAGGAGTTAGCTTGTTGTGGAGTTGTATCCTGGGGAGGCCCAGTAATTCGACTCTGAGGGAGAGAACCTAAATATAAGCCTAACACGTATATTATAGTGTTAGGCTTTAGCAAATTAGTGCTTGTATGCATATATATATATATATATGCATACATACATACACTAGTTTGTTGACCAGACCACACACTAGAAATTGAAGGGACGACGACGTGGTCTGGTGTGTGGTCTGGTCAACATACTTCAGCCACGTTATTGTGACTCATCGCCTGCATACACTAGTTTGTCAAATAGGCGATTTATTAATATCTCCAAATAGTTTACAAAATACACCAGTGGGTGAAACAACTCATATTTAAAGACCAGGATTCATCAAGCAGTTACCCATCTACTTTGGAACCTGTTCATCTTTCCTCAATGTTTGGTGGCTTTGTTTACATACATTAAACACTTCATGAGCTGCGGGGCACCACGAGGCTCTTTACATCAATAACAACATTTGACTGGCAACTTTACATGCTCGTAAACTCACTAATGTAAATAAAGCCGCCAATGATTGAGAAAAGATGTACATGTTTCTAAGTAGATGCGTAAATGCTTGTTGAATCTTGTCCCTGTACAACACTCAAAACTAGGAAACGACCAATACGTAATTAAAAATCTTTTCTTTATGGAAGAATTATCAGTAAATACATTTCAAGATCACCCCCCCCCCCAAAAAAAAAAAGGTTACGTCTGCGCTGTCAACTACCGGAAGTACAGGTGACGTCCACAGTCACCCTGGTCCAGGTTCATTGTGTACGTTTTTGGCCGAGGAGCATTTTGTCGCAAGATTTTGTTAACACTTACATTGCTGGGCAGATGTTTGCAGAGATAAAATAATGGGAAAGAAACGAAGTAAAAAAACACTTTAAACCACATAATAATGATCCAAATATTCGAGTTATAACGGACCTAAATTAGGGAAAAATACGGAGCAAAATTAGAGGAAAGATCGGAATTAAACTGAAGAGATGATCGAAACATAAGAAAGAGACAATCGACTTGAGAATGGTCCAGGACGGACCGAAACGTCGTCGTCCCTTCACCTTCTAGTGTGTGGTCTGGTCAACATACTTTTGCCACGTTATTGTGACTCATCGCCTGCATAAAGGAAAAAGAATTTAAAAAAAAAAAACTGATTTGACGATCAGGGTAAACCGAGTCCATTAATACTGAAACATACATCGTTCAAAAGGGGAGGAGAAATGTTCTTAAATCTGGGAAACAACAGCGCCTACATAATGGTTAACAGTGGTGCTTAAATAAGGTAAAGCGCCGTGCTTAAATACGAGAAACAACAGCACTTGAAAATAAGCTGGACAAGGAAAAGCGGGATGCTGGAATAGACAAGAAAACCTTTCACCCGCACACGAACTATTATTTCCGGCAAGACGCATCGCTACGCGCAGTTCTTTCCAAAATTCAAACAATATTTTCTCATGAATTTATTGGTTTAAAAATGGTGATTTCAGGAAAATTTGTTAAAAAAGTTAGATGCCATACTTTGGCCGAGGCGAGATCAAAAGTGAATTTCACCATGACACTAAAATATAAATACAATATTTTTTGCTTATTTATTGCAAGCTTTTAGTAAACCATATGCAATTAAAAATTATGTAAACACGCTAGTTTACATAATTTTCCTGTAGGGATATAATATCGGGGCGGTAGAACAACCCGCCCAATCCCCAAAAGACAAAAACAAATAATATTCTAACAATTTCTTTTTTCTAAAATATATTAAAGTTGAGGCTTAGATGAAAATAACAAATAAGTCAGGCGTGGGCGAGTCCAGCTGCGCCACCCACACTAACACGTGTGGGTGGCACTTCCACTACACTTTACTTTAACTTCCACTACAGCGACAGTGGAAGTTAAAACTGTCTTGTGTTGGCAAAGGCAACAATCTGAACGACTATTCAGCATTCCTATATATAATTAGCTATTTTGTGACACAGACTGTGTTAAACAGTTACCAGCCTTGGTGCCTTCTTTTGGTAATTACTTATGTGAGTGTACAGACTGAAGGCATTGAGTCGTTCCCAGAAAGGCCTGCTTGACAGCATAGGCGCCATGGAACTGTGGCACTAACAGTTGTCGAATTAAGAAATGTTGCGAATATTGGGCATCACAATAATGGAGCCCCAGTATTACAGAACATCTTAAGTGAGAGCTGTGTTAACTCCGCTGCCTCCAACATTCCCATACGAAATGCTTCCAACCCTTTCTTACCAAAGGATATCGTGGCTTTAAAAAAAAAAGGGAATCAATGATGCGATAATATAACTTTGCAATTATTAGGGCTAATATTGATATAATTAAGTATATACTAGCTTTCATCTGAAACATTTGACTGTCACAAGGAAAATTCTCCGACTTCTGTAAGAATGAAAAGCCTATTAGAATGAAGACACAGTTCATGAAGTATTATTGATCTGCTTGTATTCTCCCAGCAATCTGCAAATTATTTTCGAAAACTCTGTGGCTTGTTGATCATCGAAATTTGACCAATGGGGCTCGCGAAAGAGAGAGCAACACAAACCACAATAATGAATTTTCGCAATGAAGTTCTGAATGATTTTGACCACAACAAAACCATAAGCGATGCCCTTCCATATCCTAGTAAATCATTTGACTGTGCAACAAGGACTACACCTACGTAACCTCAATACATAAATGATTAAAAACGGCATTTTAAACTGATTTCAGGGCTACTTAAAGTAAAGAAGGCACTTTAATCCTCGAGTAATGTGATCTCGCTCACGTGGCCGTAATAACGGGTTCCTCTAGGGATCAGTTCTAATTCTTATATTCTTCTTACTAGACATAAATTATATTTACAAACTTGACAGTAGCAAAAATCGTACTTAGCTGGACATAACCTTATATTTCACTGGCAAAGGCTATGATATCCTTAAGAAAACGTTAAATGCAACAAACTTTTCTTTAATATTGGAAAGACTTAATATATTATGGTGGCGAGACGCGGGAGCAGGTTCCCGGGAAAGCCTTAATAATTGGGAGAGCCGCAGCCGTCCTCACACTCGTCCCTCGGTGTGCTCACTCACAAGCAACCGTTAATTAACGAGTTACTGACAAACAACCGTTATTTAACGAGTTATTAACGAACAACCGCTAATTAACGAGTTATTAACGAACCGAGCTGGGAGCCTTGCTTGACAATCTTGCCGGCAAAAATAGCAAGAAATGTGAGCGGTGCTTTACTAAATAACACAATAATTAATAATAATAAGAGGCTTTGATTACAGTGTATAATGTGATATTTTTTTATATGGCGCTATTAGTCTTGTTATTCTCAATTCCTATCCTGGAAGAATCACAGCATATACACAGAGACGTAACTCGCTTCTAGGAGCATATAATTTACTTTAGTCCTGGACAATGCTCAGAACTAGCGTATACTTGCTGGTAGGTCACTAGGCTCTAGTCGTGGGAGCCTAGTGACTTAAGAATATTAGACATATTTATCCTGACTTTAGAATATTAGATATATTTATTTTTGATGTTTGCTAATCCATTGCTAATTTAATAAGGTTGATACTGGTAATAAGTATTATAATAAACATTGTTATTTATATCACACAATATGCATTACTAGACGTTCCAGTGGTTAATTAGTAGGTACATAAATGCCGTAACATTATCATTACAAATGATGGAAAGTTCCTTGGCCTATACGCAGACAAGAGACTAGGCTTCAGCACCCACACACACACACACACAACACAGCCAAAAATGTCTCAAAAACTGTTAGTATACTCTCAAAAATCAAATATTATGTTCCCCACTCCGCTCTCCTTTCACTAGACTTTACCTAAGCACTGTTTACAACAGTGTTTTATGGCAAGTTAACTAAAGTATCTGAATCTGGAAGAACATGTTCATAAGGCTATCATAGGATAGGTGCAGAAGTCTTTGAACCTAATTCAATGCAAATTTTGGAATGTAAATAAAAGCGTGAAAAATTATACATTACGTTAATCTTAAAAAACATTAATCCATTAAAAAAACGGAGGCGTACAGTCCCCGTGGCGTAGTAGTAAGACACTCGCCTGGCGTTCCGCGCAACCCGTCCTCTTAAAAAGAACGTCACTTTTGGCTGGTATGCGCGATATGGCTAAATTTGGACGTAATTTGAAATGAAATCGACTCACAAAAGTGACGTTCTGTTCCGTTTTCTATTTGAGTCGTCCGCCTTACGCGCAGAGGTTATAAGAGGACACTTTAAATTAACGTTTTTCATAACGTTTTGAAACTTTATGAGAATTTCCTGCCCACCTAACCTATCAGAGGACCCTTAACTTACTGTTGTTGAAAAAAGAAATCCCAAATTTATTTTAATTTTTTTTTCATTTTCAAATTACGTCCAAATTCGGCCATACGGGCAAACGGCCAAAAGCGACGTTCTTTTTAAGAGGACAGGTTGTTCCGCGAGCGCTTTGTCATGGGTTGGCATCCTGGCCGGGGAGGATTTACTGGGCGCAAATCCTTAACGGTAGCCTCTATCTCAACAGTAAAATGGGTACTTGGTGGTATCAACGCATTCCAGGGAACATAGGATTAAGTCGTATTCCAGGG